GGTGAGGAGGCAGGGGTACAGGTGAGGAGGTGAGAGGAAGGTGTACAGAGGAGGCAGGTGACAGGTGAGGAGGGGTGGGTGAGGAGGGAAGGGTACAGGTGAGGAGGAAGGGTGTACAGGTGAGGAGGAAGGGTACAGGGTGAGGAGGGAAGGTGAAGGAGGTGAGGAGGGAAGTGCACAGGGTGAGGAGTGCACAGGTGAGGATGTGATAAAGCAATAAGAGGAGGGCAGGGTGGGAGTGTACAGGCAAGGAGGAGGGAAGGGGTAGGGTGAGGGAGGTGGGGTGAGGAAGGTGGAGGAGGAAGGTACAGGTGAGGAGGGCAGGTGACAGGTGAGGAGGCAGGTGAGGAGGAAGGGTACAGGTGAGGAGGAAGGTGTACAGGTGAAGGTGAGGAGGGCAGGTACAGGGTGAGGAGGGTGAGGAGGGCAGGGTACAGGGTGAGATAAGCAGGGTGAATGAGGGTGGAGGAGGGAAGGGTAACAGGGTGAGGAGGAAGGAAGAGGGTGAGGAGGAAGGCAAGGGTGAGGAGGAGGAAGGACAGGTGACAGGTGAGGAGGTGAGGAGGGCAGGTGAGGAGGAAGGTGAGGGAGTGAAGGGGGTGAGGAGGAAGGTGAGGAGGGGTACAGGTGAGGAGGAAGGGTGAGAGGAAGGTGTAACAGGGTGAGGAGGGAAGGTACAGGTGAGGAGGTGAGGAGGCAGGTGTAACAGGGTGAGGAGGGCAGGTGAAGAGGGTGAGGAGGAGGGCAGTACAGGTGAGGAGGAAGGAAGCAGGGTGAGGAGGGAAGGGTGATGAGGGATAAGCAATAGGTGAGGATGAATGAAGGCAATGACAGAGGGCAGGTGTACAGGTGAGGATGGAAGGTACAGGTGAGGAGGTGAGGAGGCAGGTGAGGAGGAAGGTAAGAGGAAGGTAACAGGTGAGGAGGTAGGTAACAGGTGAAGGTGAGGAGGTAACAGGTGAGGAGGGCAGGTGAGGATGTAAGCAGGTGAGGAGGAAGCAGGTACAGGTGAGGAGGGATGAGGCAGGTGACAGAGGCAGGGTGGAGGAGGCAGGTGTACAGGGTGGAGGCAGGTGCAAGCAGGGTAGGAGGCAGGGGTGTGCAGGGTGAGGAGGAAGGTGTACAGGGTGAGGAGGGAAGGGTGTACAGGTGAGGAGGGAAGGTGCACAGGTGAGGAGGGAAGGTGTAATATAAGGAGAGGCAGGGTGCAAGGAAGAGCAGGGAAGGGTGTTGCAGAGGGGAGGGAAGGGTGTAAGCAGGTGAGGAGGCAGGTGCAAAGAGGGTGAGGATAAGGAGGAGGAAGGGCTGAGGATAAAAGGTGTACAGAGGATGGGCAATAAGAGGAGGAGGCACAGGTGAGAGGAGAGGTGAGGAGGAAGGGGTAGAGGAGGGTGACAGGTGGAGGAGGAGGCAGGTGAGGAGGTAACAGGTGGAGCAGGTGTAAGAGGTGAGGAGGCAGGGTACAGGTGAGGAGGCAGGTAAGAGGGGAGGAGGGAGGTGTACAGGGTGAGAGGAAGGTGCAGGGTAGAGGTGAGGAGTGAAGGTGTACAGGGTGAGAGGGCAGGAGAGGAGTGGAAGGCAACAGGGTGAGGAGGGAGGGTGCACAGGGTGAGGATGTTAAGGGATGATGATGGGCTGGCAGAGAATATGACATAAGAGGATATGGGGAGGTGAGGGAGGTAGGTGAAGGAGGTGAGGAAGGTGTGGGTAAGAGGCAGGTGAGGTGAGAGGCAGGTGAGAAGGAGGAGACAGGTGAGGAGGGGCAGGAGGTAAGGTGAGGAGGGCAGGTGCAGGGTGAGGAGGGCAGGGTGCAGGGTGAAGAGGGCAGGGTGTGCAGGGTGAGGAGGGGCACAGGGTGAGGAGGGAAGGGTGCAGGGTGAGGAGGGATGCAGGTGAGGATAAGATGAAGGGGTACAGGTGAGTGAGTGTTATACAGCAGGGTGAGGAGGAAGGAAGAGGAGGAAGGCACAGGGTGAAGGAGGGCAGGTGAGGAGGCAGGTACAGGAGGAGGCAGGAGCAAGGTGGGGTGAGGAGGGCAGGTGGGTGAGGAGGGAAGGTGCAGGGTGAGGAGTGAAGGGTGCAGGGTGAGGAGGGGTGTACAGGTGAGAGGAAGGGGTGTAGAGGGTGAGGAGGCAGGTGCAGGGTGAGGAGGGAAGGTAAGCAGGGGTGAGGAGGGGAAGGGTGAGGTGGGTGAGGAGGGCAGGGAGAGGGAGGGTGTGTGTACAGGGTGGAGAGGGCAGGGTGTACAGGGTGAGGAGGGAAGGTGTGTAGGGTGAGGGAGGGAAGGGGTAAGCAGGGTGAGGAGGGAAGGGGTAAAAGGTGAGGGGAGGGGAAGGGGTGCAGGGGTGAGGAGGGCAGGGTGTACAGGGTGAGGAGGGAGGGGTGTGTGCAGGTGAGGAGGGAAGGGTGGTGGGCAGAGGAGGGTAGGCAGGGTGAGGAGGGAAGGGTGTACAGGGGTGAGGAGGGCAGGGTGAACAGGGTGAGGAGGGCAGGGTGTACAGGTGAGGGAGGGGAAGGTGTACAGGGTAGAGGAGGGAAGGTGTGTAGGGAGAGGAGGGAAGGTACAGGTGAGGAGGAAGGTGTACAGGGTGAGGGAGGGAAGGGTGGGCAGGGTGAGGAGGGCAGGGGTGCAGGGTGAGGGGAGGGGAAGGGTACAGGGGTGAGGGAGGAGGGGTGTACAGGTAAGAGGGAGGAAGGGGTACAGGGTGAGGAGGGCAGGATGGGAGGGGTGAGGGAGGGAAGGGTACAGGTGGGAGGAGGGGGTACAGGGTGAGGAGGGCAGGGGTGTACAGGGTGAGGAGGGAAGGTGTAAGCAGGATGAGGAGGGCAGGTGAAAGCAGGGTGAGGAGGGGAAGGTGTACAGGGTGGAGAGGGAAGGTGTGGCAGGGGGAGGAGGGCAGGTGAGGAGGGGAGGTGAGGAGGGCAGGTACAGGTGAGGAGGAAGGTGACAGGGTGAGGAGGGAAAGAGGTAGAGGAGGAAGGTGTACAGGTGAGTGAGGAGGGCAGGGTGTACAGGGTGAGGAGGGAAGGGGACAGGGTGAGGAGGGCAGGGTACAGGTGAGGAGGGAAGGCAGCAGGGTGAGGAGGGAAGGTAAAACAGGGTGAGGAGGGAAGGCAGGGAAGAGGGGAGGCAGGGGTGTACAGGGGTGGAGGAGGCTAGGGTGGGGCAGGGGTAGGAGGGAACGGTGTACAGGGTGAGGGAGGGGAAGGGGTGAGCAGGGTGTAAGGGGAGGGGCAGGTGTACAGGTGAGGAGGGCAGGGGTGCAGGGTGAGGAGGGAAGGGGTGTACAGGGTGAGGAGGGAAGGGGTGTACAGGTGAGGAGGCAGGGTGTGCAGAGGTGAAGGGGTGCACAGGGTGAGGAGGAAGGGTAACAGGGTGAGGAGGGAAGGGGTGCAGGGTGATGGGGAGGGGTAGTGTACAGGGTGAGGAGGGCAGGTAAGCAGGTGAGAGGAAGGTGTACAGGGGTGAGGAGGGAAGGTGCAGGTGTTGGGGAGGGAGGGCTGCCTGTGGTAAGGACTGGGCACTGACAAGAGGCAGAAGCAGGGGAGGAAATAAGATGGGAGAAGGGCAGGATATGGGCAAGAATTGCAGGTCAGGAGCATAGGCAGAAGCATAGAAAGGGCAATGCTGGGGAAAGAAACAGCTGAAGTAGAGACAAGAATGGGACAGAAACAGAACAAGAGGGGGCATTTGGGGGGGCAGCACTCCGCGCCATCACGCCTGCACATTGTTACCAATTCAATACCCAAGAGACAACACGGATAAAATCCAAAGCAATGTAGACATTGATAACACAGGTCAAGAACACCAAACAACATCTCTCTATTCAGCTTACGATTTCGCTTGATGCTTTATCTGACGTCATTTCTGACGCCCATCAGCTGCAGTACAAGCCAGCGTGATTATGTGCAGGGACGTACAGACAAATTAGTTGTCAAAGACGAAGTTAGAATATGATTTTGTTGTAATGTGGAATTAATTAGACTGTTATTATGCGCTGTATTTAGGAAGGATATGTTTTAATTGACATCAAAACGAATTTTGTATAATGTGTCGAAGTTAGAAATGGTTATGTCATCCACATTGTTTTTTTTGTGTCGTATTTAGAAATGGTATTTCATAGTGTTGCATCTAAAATAATTTGTTTAATGAACTGGTCAGGAAAGGAATTTATTATAATATTACATCTAAATTTGATTTGATGTTCAGATTAGTTAGTATGTGCTTTTGTCATTTACATTCAAACTGTGTCGTCTTGAAGCGTCTGGTCATAACTAGTCAATATCTGAGGACCATGATTGAAAAACAAACATTATAAATACCTTTTTTATCTTGGTAAATGTTTATATATATACAGTAAATCTATGTTAGAATCAATACAAAAACAAATCAGACAACCGGCCTGGCGTGAGGACAATCCACATGTAAACAAATACTCGATATTATCCGGGAGCGTCATTAGGTAAAACACATCAGCGTAAGTGTACAGAGGAACAAGAATAGGAGCTGAACCACAAAGAGATCACTGTTACTCAGCAGGCGGGTTTAAGGTTCGTCTGGCGGGTGGAAGAACACTAAGGAGATGCTGGTTACTCGTGTTGGTATAGTTTTTATAATATGAGTCTTATGCATACAGTGTCACCACCTACAACCCCAGGTAGTTGCAAGTTTAACATCAGGTGAAATAAGGTGGGTGTACTAATCTTCAGGCAGCCATGGCTTTGCTGCCAGACGTGATGTGTTTAGGCCTAGGCAGCTGCCAGTACAGGTGATGGGTGGTAGGAGGTTGGTGGGCGGCAGGAAAGGTGGAATAATGGGCAGGAGGATGAGGTGGAATAGTGGAGGAAGGAACAGATAGTAGGTGCAGAAACAAGTTGTCTGTGGTCAGCAGGAACAAAGTGATAGTGGGGCAAACAGGGATAGTGGCAGCAGGAACAAGTTGGTGGTTTGCAGGAACAAGTGATAGTGGGCAGCAGGAACAAGTTGGTGTGGTCAGCAGAACAAATGTGATAGTGTACAGCAGGAACAAGTGGGCTGGTGGGCAGCAGGAACAAATGGTAGTGGGCGCAGGAACAAGTTGGTGTGGTCGGCAGGAACAAATGTGAGTGGGCAGCAGGAACAAAGTGGGAGTGGGCGCAGGAACAAGTTGGTGTGGTCGGCAGGAACAAGTGGGATAGTGGGCGGCAGGAACAAGTTGGTGGTCAGCAGGAACAAATGATGGTGTGCAGCAGGAAGTGGGATGATGGGCGGTGACAAGTGGGATAGTGGGCAGGAAAAGTTGGTGTGGTAGCAGGAACAAATGCAATAGTGGGCAGCAGGAACAGAAAAGTGGGCAGCAGGAACAAGTGGGATAGTGGGCAGCAGGAACAATGTGATGAGTGTGGCAGGAACAAGTGGGAGGACACAGAACAAGTGGGACAGTGGGCGACAGGAACAAGTTGGTGTGGTCGGCAGGAACAAATGTGATAATGGGCGGCAGGAACTAGTGGGATAGTGGAAGGCATGAACAAGTGGATAGTGGGCAGCATGAACAAGGGGATAGTGGGCGATGAACAAGGAGATAGTGGGCGACAGGAATGAGGTAGGTGGGCAGCATGAACAAGCTGGGATAGTGGGCGGCAGAAAAAGGGGACAATGGGCGGCAGGAAATAGTGAGATAGTGGGCGGCAGGAAAACAAGTGATAGTGGGCGACAGGAACAAGTGGGATAGTGGGCAGCATGAACAAGTGAGATAGTGGGCGACAGGAACAAGTGGGATAGTGGGCGGCATGAACAAGTGGGATAGTGGGCAGCAAGAACAAGGGACAATGGGCAGCAGGAACAAGTGAGATAGTGGGCGGCAGGAACACGGGATAGTCGGCAAGGAAATAAGGGACAATGGGCGACATGAAAAGGGATAGCGACAGAACAAGTGATAGTGGGCAGCATGAACAAGGGGACAATGGGCGGCAGAAACAAGAGAGATAGTAGGGAACAAGGGGACAATGCGGCAGGAACAAAAGATAGTGGGCGGCAGGAAATGCGATAGTGGGCAGCAGGAACAAGTGGGACAATGGGCGACAGGCAGCAAGTGAGATAGTGGGCAGTAGGAACAAGGGACAATGAGCAAGGAACAAGTGAGATAGTGGGCAGCAGGAAACAAGGGGACAATGGGCAGCAGGAACAAGTGAGATAGTGGGCGGCAGGAACAAGTGGGACAATAGGCAGCAGGAACACGAGATAAAGGGCAGTAGGAACAAGTAGGATAGTGGCGCAAGAACAGAATAAAGACAGACATGAAATAAGTGGGATAGTGGGCGACATGAACAAGTGGGAGGCAGCAAGAACAAGTGGACAATGAGCGGCAGGAACAAGTGAGAGTGGGCGGCAGGAACAAGGATAGTGACGGCAGGAACAAATGAGAAGTGGGCGGTATGAACAAGTGGGATAGTGGGCAGCATGAAACAAGTGATAGTGGTATATGAACAAGTGGGATAGTGGGCGGCATGAACAAGGGGACAATGGGCAGCAGGAACAATGAGACAGTGGGAGGCATGAACAAGCAGGATAGTGGGCGGCAGGAACAAATGATGGGGCGGCATGAAAAGTGGGATAGTGGGCGCATGAACAAGTGGGATAGTGGGCAGCATGAACAAGCGGGACAATGGGCGGCAGGAACAGGTGAGATAGTGGGAGCAGAACATGGGATAGTGGGGCAGGAACAAGTAGGATAATTGGGCGGCATGAACAAATGGGACAATGGGCGATGAACAAGCGGGATACTGGGCGACATGAACAAGGATAGTGTGCGGCATGAACAAGTAGGGATAGTGGGCGGCATGAAAAGTGGGGATAATGGGCGCCATGAACAAGTGGGATAGTGGGACAGGAACAAGGGATAGTGCGGCATGAACAAGAGGACAGTGGCGGCATGAACAAGTGGACAATGGGCAACAGGAACAAGGGGATAGTGGCAGGAACAAGGGATAGTGGGCGGCAGGAACAAGGGGATAGTGGCAGCATGAACAAGTGACAATGAGTGGCAGGAACAAGTGAGATAGTGGGCGCAGGAACAAAGAGGATAGTGGCATGAACAAGTGGGACAATGGGCGACATGAACAAGTGGATAGTAAGAGACAGGAACAAGTGGATAGTGGGCGGCATGAACAAGTGGAGAATGGGCGGCAGGAACAAGGATTAACGAAAAACACGGATAAGCAGAAAACAAATGTAGTGGGCGGCTTGAAACAAGGGGATAGTGGGCGGCATGAACAAGTGGGATAGTGGGCGGCATGAACAAATGATAGTGGGCGCATGAACAAATGTGATAGTGGGCGGCTTGAACAAGTGGGATAGTGGGCGGCATGAACAAGTGGGATAGTGGGCTGCATGAACAAATGGGATAGTAGGCGGCATGAACGAGTGGGATAGTGGGCGGCATGAAAAAATATGTTAGTGGGCAGCTGGAACAAGGTGGTGTGGTGAGCAAGAACAGGTAGGTGGGTGGGTGGTTGGGGGGTGGGGTGGCAGCAGGACAGGGCCAACACAGACACCGCCCACATATCCTCGTGTAGTGGTACAGTAACATCGTCACTTCAGTTCCGGGTGTACAATACATCATTTCATAGTTGATACTCAGTCATGTCATCCTCAGGTGAAGTGAATGTTAGGGAGATGATAAAAAAATGACTTAAATGGAATAGGGGAACGCGCATGCGTGCGTAGTGTCAACAAAGGCTGTAAGAGACAGCTCCTTAAAATTCGTATTTCTGACGAATTCAGCGAGTCTACTAATCCCAGCCTGTGCAGACAACTATAGTAAGACCCAGTTATCAGCACAGTGGCATATATTTGTTTTTTACTTGTGGACTTTGTCATTTTTTGGGGATAAAACATCTGGTCCTACCACCCGATCCCTCTGAGCAAAGTTTTTCAAGTTTGCGCATGAGCAATGTGATAGTGTGTCGTAGCAGTGACGTCATTACCACTCCACCTGACTGCAGTGTTGCCAACGTGCCCTATGCCCGCCGTTAAACGCTCCCGTTCGTTGGAAACGGCGGCAGTAGGTGACAGTGATGCTGACGACTTTCTTCTTGAAGACACGTCAAAGAAGAAGCAGAAACCTCAGAAGTCAGGGTCTCCAGCAGGGGCCACGGCTCCCCCTTGCACCCCTTCTGGGGCTGTAGAGGGTGGACTCCTGTCATCGGGGTCCCCAAGTGAGCTTACATGTGGCTCAATGACCGACCCTCCGCCGACGATGGACATAGGGGATTCCCTTTGTCTCCCTGCCCCGTCGCGCCTTCGTCGTCTCGCCTTCCCTCGGGACTTGCCTCTGAGCACACGGACGACCTGGTTCTTCCGTCACTGCTCTCCACTTCAGGACTCAACACTTCGCCTCCGCCGAGGTCCCACAGCCGTGATAGTCACCACACAAATGGACGAGACGGTACGCCTGCTCACTCAGGTGGGCTTTCCTGCTCCCCAGGGGGAGGTGATGCTGAAGTTCACCACCATCACCCCAGAAACTCGTCGTACCAAGGTAATGGTTCGCCACGTACCCTGGGAGATCCCTATCGACGATCTTCGCCCTCTTCTCCCACAACTACTGGACATGGAACGCCGCATCAACCCGGTCTCCAAACGTCCATCCAACGAACTCATCGGCTGGTGGGTGGGCCCCCTCCCCCCGAAGGTGAATGTAGGACCAATTCGCAACTGTCCTCTCGACCGATTTATCGGAACCCCGAAAATCTGTGGTCGTTGCCAATCGTGGAAACACCGCACCTGGGAGCGCACGAGGATGGTCGCCTGCGGGTTTCTGCGCAGGTCCTCACGAAACAGTGGAATGCAAATCGAAAATTCAGAACAAAATTCCAGTTATTCCACGGTGTGTCAATTGCCATGGCAGTCACCACGCCTGGAATGCCAATTGCCCACAGCGTCCTGGCACTCGCCCGGGGAAAACTTACCTTGTACCACCGCCCTCGTCTCTGACGAAGCCCCTGTCAACCAAACCTCACTCCTATCCACCACCGCCTCTTCCATCCATCAAGGATTTCCCATTGATCTCCTCTCCTCTACCACCCCCCCTATCACCCCCACCACCCATCCTTTCTCCCCTCCCTCCCTCTTCCTACCGTTCTTGGAACAAGGTCGTTGCCGGCCCTGCCACACAGTCACCACCATCTCCAGCCCACCCGGACCCCCGCTGTCTCTCACCAGCACCACCACCTCTTACTCAACTGAACCCTCACCGTCCCTCTCCGTCGCTACCACCACCACCTGCCCAGTCGGGCCCTCGGCAATCCTCGCCGCCACCTCCAGCTCCTGTACAGGTACACCAAGTTGGTTCTATGGAAACATTCACTCTCCGTCTGGATCGCCACTCCAAGCAAATCAACCTTCTCTCTGCCCAACTCTACTAGTTTGTGAAAACAATTGCGACATTGCAGAGGCAACAACAACTCATTCTGGACACCCTGACCCAACAGGGGCGCACTTTGCAAGCCCTGATGACCCGCCTCCTTCCATCTCCCGAGATGGAGGATCCATCCCTCGCTCTCCCACTCCTCCCTCTCCATTTTTCTCAACAGAATTTGGTACCTCCTCTGGAGCCCTGTCTAGCCCCTCCGACTCATCTCACACCGGAGGCCGTTCCCTCCTCTTCTTACAATGGAACATCCAGGGACTTAGACCTCGCCGGACAGACCTTGCCCAGTTTGTGCTCTCCCATCAAGTAGATGTTGCTCTACTTCAGGAAACCATCACAGACGATGTTACTCCACTCCGCCTCTCTGGCTATACTGTTTACACCCTGCCTCGGTACCGTGGGCAGGCTCGTGGCCTCCTCACCCTGGTGCGTAACACCATTCCATCTGTTCGTCTCCCTTCACCTGACCCACATGGACCCCCGTCTGAATTGCTTTCTGTCTCCCTTACTCTTGGTGACCGGACTCTTCGTGTAGTCAATGTTCATTTCAAGAGTGATTCTCTGGACCCTCAGGTTCTTCACGACCTCCATGATGGGATTCCCACTATTGTTCTTGGCGACTTTAACGCCCGCCATCCCACTCTTACTCCGGATCATCCCACGCCATGTACCCTTAACGGATCACATCTCTCACAGTTTCTTAATGGGGATGATGATGTTCGCTTTCTTTGTCCTGACGATCCTACTCGCCTCCCCCATAGTTTCCTTGATGTTGGCTTACTATTGAACGGTCATACTTCCTTTCATCC